AGAGATGAGAGAGGAGAGAAGAGAGAGAGAGAGAGAGAGAGAGAGAGAAGAGAGAGGAGACAGAGAGAGAGAGAGAGAGAGAGAGGGAGAGAGGGAGAGAGAGAGAGAGAGAAAGAGGAGAGGGAGAGAGGTAAGTCATTGAAAGAGGGACAAAGAGGTGGAGATATTCGAATAGAAAGAGAAGGTTCTGCGACATTTCGTTTTTTAAATCACATTGCACATACCTACTGAAGAAGGGGAGACAAACGAAGACGAAACAAAAAAGAACAACAATGGGTGTGTAGGCGCTACATGAGCTGCGCTGGTGAGATGCAGTGGACTCCCCCGACCAAGGGTCTCGGGATCCGCGTACACAGCAAGCACCGTATGAGAGGGGGGGGGGACGGGCGAGAGGAAATGGCGGAGAGAGAGAGAGACAGAGAGAGAGAGAGAGAGAGAGAGAGAGAGAGAGACAGACAGAGACAGAGACAGAGAGAGACAGAGAGAGAGACAGAGACACAGAGAGAGACAGAGAGAGACAGAGAGAGACAGAGAGACAGACAGAGAGAGTGCACAAGAAAGAGAGAGAGAGAGAGAGAGAGAGAGAGAGAGAGAGAGAGAGAGAGAGAGAGAGAGAGAGAGAGAGAGAGAGAGAGAGAGAGAGAGAGAGAGAGAGAGAGAGAGAGAGAGAGAGAGAGAGAGAAAGAGAGAGAGAGATGGGTAAGTGAGGGAAAGAGAGTGAAAGAGGTGAAGTATAGAGAGAGCAATACTCTATGACTATAATGCTACTTTTAGAAGAGGGTCAACACAATGATTTGCGTCCACTGATGGCAGGCCAGTGTGATACATGTGCATGGCTAGCACCAGTCATGAGCAGAGCACCAGTCACTCTGTTGCAGGTGACGGTATGCAGCGATCTTGAAGCTCTGCAGGTGTTTCCGGGCTGGCTGCTTGTCCAGAATTGCCTGTGGCAGTCTATTCCACACTGGCATGATGCAGTATGGGAAAGAGCGCAGAAGGCAATCAGGAGCTCATGGCGAGAGATTCAGCGCAAGCTGGTGGGGATGGTGCTGTGCTTGGGCTGCTCGTGTGCGGCGATGACGTGGCAGTATAGCCGGCGGGGGACACATGGCTGCAACTTGAGGCAGACCATGGCCACACTTCAGTTTGTACAGTAGGCAGAGAGCAGAGACCTTTCGCCGAACAAGGAGGCTGGGAAGAATGGTACCAGGGCCAATGACATTTAGGGCGCGGAGCGGGACAGCATCCAGCATGGCCAGGTGTGAGGGAGCTGATTCCATCCACGCAAGGGGGGGCATATTCCAGCATTGGTCGGACGAATCCTTTGTAAACAGTCACTCTGCCCGCATGGCTGAGAAGGGGTGCTGCCTTCCGCAGGAGGCCTAGCCGCTGCTTAGCACGTGATGCCACTTGCCGAAGGTGGAGTCTGTAGCTCAGTTTAGAATCAAACGTCACTCCGAGCACCTTCACAAATTCATCTGGTGGGAGAGGAGTTCCGCCAAATGACAGCTGGGGAGTCACTGTATCCTTCCGCTACATATCGTCGCTATGACTATAATGCTACTTTTAGAAGAGGGTCAACATAATGATTTGAGTCCACTGATGGCAGGCCAGTGTGATACATGTGCATGGCTAGCACCAGTCATGAGCAGAGCACCAGTCAATCTGTTGCAGGTGACGGTATGCAGCAATCTTGAAGCTCTGCAGGTGTTTCCGGGCTGGCTGCTTGTCCAGAATTGCCTGTGGCAGTCTGTTCCACTCTGGCACGATGCAGTATGGAAAAGAGCGCAGATATCCTAGCTTTTGGCCGTAAACGGGTCAAAATTTGAGTTTTGGTCAGAAGTTATTTGGCAATCCCCCATGGAATGCTCTTTCAATTGTGTTTTTGAAGTCTATTTTTCCAAAATGCAAGCGATAACAAGAACAGGATTTCGGCCAGATTTTGCCCCAAAGCACTGAATTGGGGGAAAAACCAGGAAAATCCAGGCCGTTCACTCCACTTGCACACCATGTACCAGTACATTTGCGGTTTGAACCCCAGTTGAGGAACCTTTTTTGAACCCTTTTTCAAGTTTCGAAACTCGCGGCACTGCACAGTGTACCACAAAATCGCCAAATTTGGGAGCTCTCCAGAGCCCGCACTCATCTTTTTCTGAATGGACTGTAGTCATCGGCGGCTAATGCTCGTATATTTTACTAATACAGTAGGTATCGGTTATAGCGTGGGTGTTTGAAAAACGACATTGATTCTTATTGCCGATATTTCTTACACACGATAAATCACGTGTGACATATCATATGCACGTGTGACATACAGGTATCATAATTATAATTATGCGCGCACGTTTGGCATGTGGACACGTACAATCATGTAGGTCTACACATGATACACACGGATCAGACTCGCGGTCGTGCTAGGCGACTGCGGAGCAGCAGATACGAGAGAAGTCGGAAGCAAGAGTCCGAGAGAAGTCGGAAGCAAGAGTCCGACTGGACAGAAAAAGTGATTCTCCGATGCTCAGTTGGACATAACTCTCTTTTTGTGTTGAATATTATTGTATTGAGTATGCACAGAGCACAGATTTTATTACTACAGGCGATACACTTTGCACTAATCTGGCATATTTTGCTACACAAAATCCATTCTTAGGGCCGATAATATTATATTCTACTATGCGATAATACTGCTTGTAAGAATAAATATACACATAAAATATGTGTTATGATTATGAAAAAATGAGTGTTCATTCTTGTAGGCAGTATATTCTTGTATACGACCACACTATAACCGATACGCACTGTAATACTTTCAGCACTGCCCGTTATTCCAGCAAATAACGCTAGTTTGAATGCTCGTTTTGCACTTTAGTGCTCGTTAGGGCTTGGCGGATAATGCCGGCAGAAAAATTGGCAGAATTCGGTACTTTTTCTGGTAAGTTTCATGCATGTTTGGTATGTGGATAAAGAAATGGAGCAGAATTCGAGGAATTGCCCGCCATAAGGTTTGTATGGTTCTGCCAATTTCGGTGCAAAAAAAGCAGAATCTGCCACCTTTTCGAGCATTATCCGCCAAGGCCTAGTGCTCGTAACCGAAGTTTCAGCGGAACGTTCACGGCAGGCGAATTCTGGTTTCTGGGCTGGCTGATGATCACAGAAAGCAGTGCAGGGTGCTCAGTGCTCAGTGAGATTGCTGACAGGACCTCTCTCCAGAGCTGTCACACACACGTACGCACGCACACACACACGCACACCACACACACACGCACACATACACACACACAAACACAAACACACGCTGAGACACACACACACGCACGCACGCACGCAGTTTCCAAAGAAAGAACTGTCAGTGTAGTGCCGGTGCACCTGCAATGACTATGTCTCCCTGCATACACACAGTGCAATGATGCTAAAGTAACACACATACATACAATCAACATGCAACCACTACCCTGAAGCACGGCCTTGAGCGTGCACCATACCAGTCTGTCTTTCCATGGTTGGTTGGTTGGTTTTTATTTCATTTCGCACATTCAAACGGAATGACGACCCAATAAAGAGATGGCGAAGGCTAAGCCTAGAAGTGGCTATGGAAGCACGTATTAAGAGAGTAGGATACTAATAATTGCGAGTAAAGGGGGGGGGAGAGAGAGAGAATACGATGTTTCTGTGATACTACGTGAGGATTACTGAACTACACGGGGAGGGAGAGCAGAGCGGTCAGCAACAACTCGAACTTCTCCCTACAGGCCACATGCATGCTTAAAGGGGAAGTGCATCGATTTTTCGAGTAGGGTCCAGAAGAAAGACAATTTGATATCGGTTCGAATGGCATATCTCTCGCGTCCATACGATAAGCCAAACTTGCCAAATCGCCAATTGTATACTCACGTTGCCATAGCGACCAGCGCAGTGATGACGTACGAAAGGCTTAGCTCCACCATAGAGAAGGTCGATCACTGCAGAAATTGGTCATTTTCAATTGCCTTATTGTATTTACGATGTGAAAGAAGTGCTGTATTCAATGCCGTTAGTGCAGTGAACTGTTTATCGGCCTTCCCCTGCATTTCCCTAGGCTGACTGTGCCTAAGAAATGGTTTCCTCTAGGAGAAGATGCTTGGAATTCGCCATCTCTCCTGAGACATTTTCAGCAAACTTTCAAACCTACGACATTATTTCATTCCTCAATCTCCACCACCCGTCGTCTCACCTGGCTTCAGAAGATGTTACGAGAGATAGGAGAGTCGGCAGGAAGCATCACATTCATCTTCAGGAAGTGGAAAGAGCAAACGGCATGGTCCTTGGTTGGGGGAAATGCTGAACATCTGATTTGTCTTAACCAAGATTTCAGCATTGTGTTCGTCACTATTTTCGCTTGTCTGCTGGTGTCTCCGCACTCCAGCTTTCTCCTGTCGGTGTCACGTCCCAGTGCACAACCGAGAGGACTACTAACAAACAGTTCACTGCACTAACAGCATTGGACACAGCCCTTCTTTCACTTCGTGAATACAATAAACCAATTGAAAATGACCAAATTCTGCAGTGATCGACCTTCTCTGTGGTGGAGCTAAGCCTTTCGTACGTCATCACTGCGCTGGTCGCTATGGCAACGCGAGTATACAATTGGCGATTTTGCAAGTTTGGCTTATCGTATCTTCGTAAGGAAGCGAGAGATATACCATTCGAACCGATATCAAATTGTCTTTCTTCTGGACCATGCTCGAAAAATCGATGAACTTCCCCATTAAACTCAGGTAGCCGGGTAATTGTGCGGACCTCACCAAGGAGAGCGTTCCACAGCAGAGCACCAGCAACAAAAAATCTCCGCTGACCGCGGCGGCTACAGTTTGCCTGGCTTTGTAGGCCACATTAACTGCATATGGCGGGTAGGTGTGCCTTGTGCCGGGGTCAGAAGCTGGGCGAGCACAGGGCTGGCGCGGGCGTGGATGCACCGCCAGATGGTGATCAATATTTTTCTGCCTGTAGATCTCGCTGACACAGTACAGGGAGTGAGCCGTGACAAGCGGCTGTATGGCTGTCGATACAGGAGATGGCTCGGTTTTGCGCGGTTTGCAGTCGTTTCAGTTGATCCTCTCGCATTGCGGCTGAAAAGCAGCGGGAGCCATAAAGCAGGCCGGGCATTATGACCACTTTCACATACACCTGACGAGAACATCTTGATAGGGTTGGTACCGACATGGGCCGGATTTTTAGCGACGACTGCAGTAAAACCTGTGATGGCGACCGTTCGGATATGGCGACCACTCGACCATGATGACCATTTTTCCTTGTCACGGACGCATTCCCATTGAAAACAGCTCGGACAGGGTGACCACTCGCTCAACGTGACAGGTATTGGCATTGGCAGGATTTTTGAGCGACGACTATGCATGTAGAGGCGACGGTTCGATACCGGAACGGCTTGGCAGCCACATTAGTATAGACCCAAACCGATGATCAGCGTGGATTGTTCACTCGAAATTATGATTGTTGAAGGAAACTGGCATGTTGAAGTTTGCTCTGAGGCCAGCGTCAATCGAACTGAGCCACTCCTTTGTGTTGACCCATTGCCTCCAAGTTGCCCAATTGTTCGCTTCAAATCAGAGGTGGCTCCAAAACCGGAAAGGTTTTAGAGTGCACGTCCAATTAACTCTGCGTTCTGAAATTAGGTAATTGCTATCGCTCCACGACGGTCAGTACAGAGTAACAATAAGCCTTGTGTGTGCTTGCTTTAGGTTTGATTGGTATGCGTTGCTTTTTTGGTGAGAGGCGAGCCGCTGTTTACCTGCGACAAGAAGTTGATTTTTCGAAAGTCGTAAAACTCAAGTCGCAGTGCGAAGCTCGACGTCAAAAACTCCCCTGCTTGATATGGCGCTTCTGGTCATCGCAGAGCAATGAAATTTTGGCCCGGAGTATAACACACCGTAGTACTACAGTCGTCGCCAAAAAAAATTCCGGCCAATGCAAAGCTAAGCTACCGGTAGCTGTATGGGTACCACGGGGGAACGCGCACCATACCAGTACGCGCGCTACCAGTACCGGGCGCGTGCGCCGGTGCCCTTGAAGGGGGAGGGGTTTCCGGGGGGCTTCCCCATGAAATACGTCAAAAAATGAAGCAAAATCCTGAATTGTGAGCGAAAAAGGGGGTTCCGGGCACCCAGGAACCCATACGGGGCATGCGCCTGAGTACGCGCTCTACCAGTATCCATTAAAAAATGCTAATTTGCCCTCATCGTCTGCTACCTGGAGGCATGGATGGCTTGAAAACGAAGTTTCATGACCTAAATTTGAACACGCTCCCCGCACAGCGCCTTGCGGAGTGCTGAAGGTTCTGCCTCAAATTCTGATGGAGACGTCGACCGCAGCCGCAAGTGCAGCGAATCGAGAGGCCACAAACTCAACCTTAGTCCGTCGACAATGCTCTGCCTCAAGTTCTAGCTGATCTTTTCGCTTCGAGTGGACAAAATAGATTTGAAAAAATCGCTCTGGAAAGCGACAGTTTTAATGACGCGGATGAAGTACTAGTCTGTAGTAAGCGGTGAACAGGTCACATGACATTTTAGTACTAGCACTGTTAAGCAGCATAAAGGAGCTCCATCGTGCTAACTGCCATCACATGACATCCAGCACAAACAGATAACAGAAATGGCCTTTTATTTTATCTATTTTATTTTATTTTTTACAAGGGTAACAGCTCGCAGCCTGCCGTGAATGTGTCACTGAACACAGTGTCCACGGTAGGTGTGCAGTGGGCTGATCAACGCCAGCAGCCACACGTCGATAGGCTCATGCTCTGGGTGCGGCCAGCCGTGCCTTAACCCTGTGGAGGAGAAAGAACCAAGTTTACAGGCATGGAGCACACACACACACACACACACAAACACACACACACATACATACACACCACACACACATACCCACACATACGCACACACACACACACACACACACACACACACACGTGCACACACGTGCACGCATGCACACGCACGTACACGGTGGGCAGTTTGAGATTTGATAGTTGTCACGCAAAAACCTGTCCGACAAGGCGATCAGCATAAATGCTCCAATCTTGGAGATCATAAATATTAAAAAACACAGGTTGGAGGAGCCTAGGGGAACTCGAAATGGGAGTTATTTACATCTCCCTGTAGCATTTATGATGACGTTGGAAGCTTAGAGAATGCACTGTGGCTGCAGAAGGAATATTTCACGTTAGAAGGTAAACCACTGTGCGTGCTCTAAGCCTGCACAGCAATCATGGATGCGGAGGAGGGGGGGGGGGAGCGGGGGTGAAGTAGAATGGAGTTTCTAAAGTACCTCAAGGTTATGGCCACGCCCTGCCTCATACTCTGACGCCTGATCATGGGGTGGTGGCGTCCCACGGAAGCGGAAAGGTGGTTCTTGACGACTCCTTGTTCGTGACCTGCCCGGTACGCGAAACCGTCGATTTTTTTAATACTCTGATTCTCCCAAACTGTAATCACGTCAATACAGGCTATATCATTCGGCATATTCGCACCTTGCATTTGCCAACTGCAAGAACCGACCTGGGCTCTCCTTTGTAAAAAAATCCCTCCATTCCTTCAATTGCCTCCCATCGACGTTCTGGAATATTCAATCACCAGCTCTGCTAAGGCAAAATATCTCGTCCCTGCTGCTAAACTCAGTCGACTCATCTCATCTCAAGAACATTCTCAACCAAAAGCACTTTTGCAGCGCGATTTCTTGGGTCCACCCGGTAGGACTGCAATCAAGCTATCATGAAGCAAGCATTCTAAAACCTGCATGTGATGTAACTCCTCACAATGGTATTATCTCTTACTGGCCACAGGGCACAGGGCACAGGGCATAGGGTACAGGGCACAGGGCATAGGGCACAGAGCACAAGGCATAGGGTTCAGGGCACAAGGCACATCCAATCGTGGGAATTAAGAGTTGAAACTTCACCAACAGCAACCTCGTACCTTGATACTTCCAGCCCCTGAGTGTGTGATAGGCCCTGGCGGCTAATGCCGGCAGGATTTCGAGCAGAATATGGGTTATTTTAGAAAAGGAGCAGAATGAGCAGAATTCGGCAGAAAAGTGCCGAAGAAGGAGCAGATACTCTGCAGAACCAGCTACGAAGTGCGGAGGGGGCTGCTGGTGCCTATTTACGGCTCCATAGTGTTCACAAGCACGTGAGAATCCAGCAGAATACGAGCAGACTGGGGCAGAATACCGGCAGAATACGAGCAGAATGTCGAGCGGAAAACGCTACTTTTTCGAGCATTAGCTGCCAGGGCATAGTGTGTGAGCACAGTCTACACTTCTCAACATAACACAGACGCTGAGCATCCAGTTGAGCTATCCTGACTCCAAACATTGAGATAACGATCTACACTGAAATGATACTACAGTAAAACCTGTAGCTAAAGACCACCGTGACTAGCGACCAGCCTGGTACTACAGTAAAACCTGTAACTAAAGACCGGCACCGTGACTAGCGACCAGCCTGGTACTACAGTAAAACCTGTAACTAAAGACCACGGTGACTAGCGACCAGCCTGGTACTACAGTAAAACCTGTAGCTAAAGACCACGGTGACTAGTGACCAGCCTGGTACTACAGTAAAACCTGTAGCTAAAGACCACGGTGACTAGTGACCAGCCTGGTACTACAGACCACTTCGCCAGGCACGGACGGTCTCACATTCATAATATGATTCATAATAAATTAATAATTATATTAAGCTATGAATAGGATGAAGGCCGCAGACATCACGCAACTACGTTACTTGTTTGACATGTACAGTACTTACCTTCAGTTTCTTTGGTTGTATCCTTAGTTCCGTATTTTCCCACTGATGATAGGAACAAGAAAATCGATTATGGGTTTTCAATAATATTTTTGTTATAAAATACACAGTAAATACATGTCAAACAAGTAACGTAGTTGCGTGATGTCTGCGGCCTTCATCCTATTCATAGCCATATTAAAATTATTATCTCCACGTAGATTATTTGCATAATAATTATTATTTAAATATCCGACGAGGAGACAACAGTCGTAAAATTACAATGAAAAATATCAATTGTGCACTCATAACCATGTATAAACTATTCAAATGAAACAATTCCAGAACGTTTTCGTGTGACTATCATCACCGGAACATCGTCACATAGTAAGAATCACTAAAACGCGTTATGCATAACCGCTAGCTGTGCTGCATTCTCACGCTTCTTTTCATATTACTCTAGCTATATAACTGGTTGTTTTAGTAATTCTTACTATGTGACGATGTTCCTCTGATGGTAGTCAGACGAAAACGTCCTGGAATTGTTTCATTTCAATATATTTTTCATTGCCATAATATTATTATAATTAATTTATGGTCCTGCGGTGCAAACCTCTAACAAAGTACCACCTGCCACTTAAGACCCCTTTCTCTTGCCCCAAGGGATGGTCGTTCGTTGCGGGTTTTACCGTACTTAAACTGACAACGTTGCTTTTAAAAGCGTAGTAGTTTAACGTACTCATACATTGGAGCAGACAACTAGACGCAGCTTTCTCTTGGTGGGATCGTAGAGCTGTCCGTCGCTGCCATAAGCCACCCGGGTGTCAGGCCTGAGCATCCACACCACAGCACCAGTGCCCATGTCGTCCTTGAGCAATTCATTGACGCACCTCACGAGCGGGAAGAAAGGGGGAACGGCTTGTGGCAACTTCAGCATGCTTCTCGTGCATTCGAGTTGAGCTTCTTGAAAGTTGCTGGCAGTCCGTGTCGGAATGTACATGACCTCGCCTTTGACGCCCTCAGCCGCACAAGAACGATCTGCGCACCAGACGATGGGGCCGACGCAAAAGGATACGCACACACACACGCAGACGCACACGAACACAGAGGCAGGTGCAGGCATGCACACACACGTGCGCACGCACGCACACACGCACGTACGCACACACACACACACCCGTACGCACACACGCAGTCACACACACACACATTCACGACGCAAACACGCAGGCAAATGCATGGTCAGAAACTAATCTGTCCCCGTGACTTACACATTCTCTTCATTCCCATTATTCCCATTGAAGTTTATCAGCAGGATGCTAAGACCCCAGCTTCACTTGAGCTGAATGTCTTGGATGAGAGGAGAGAGAGACCCCCCCCCCCCCCCGCTACCCTGAAACCTAACAGAGAGTTAGAAATAGAGTGATGCCTCTTGAAACTTGATTCCGCTGAGCATGGCAGTCAATGCGACCAAGCATACCCTGGACTATAGTCAATTCATCGGAAACTGGCCCGCTGGCTTTTGAAAGTCGGATTTGGGCCGATTTGTGGATGAAAACCCAAAAATCTGGGTTTTGGATCTGCTTCTCCATACATTTTGCCATGGCATACCTGTCCTAATTTTGTAACACCTCGCTGAATTTCTATTTCCCTGTTCTTGGACTTTTGTGGCCTCAAATGTGGCAAGGAGTAATTGCACGGGTCACACAATGCAGGATGTACTGTTGTTTTCGCGATATTTACAACTATGTGAGAGAGACACCAAAAGTCAGGGTGCCAGTTTCCAATGAATGGACTGTAGGATCGAAAGGTGGCTGGATAAACAAAACAGATTTCTTTTTTTATATCAGGGTTCGCATGAGACTCTGATAGACTAAGTTTTCATCGTCCGCAGGAGCGCCACCACTCTCAAGGATCAAGGCACAATTTCAGCTTCTGAAGTGGTAGGCGGTGAGTGGATCAAACCCACCACCAAAGTGGTAAAAAAACCTTGGATCAATTTTAAGTTAACATTAAATGTGGTATGCATCTTCTGAATATTTCTGTGTCTTACAATGATGATTTCTTGTCATTGCGGGGTTCTTGCTCTTATTAACATGTGAAAACGAAGACATGTCGTTCGTACTTACTGCATGTTCGATGATATTCGCACACAAACGGCAGCCTGGTGTTTGCTGGATAGCGGTTGCCATCAGACGCCAGGTAGTGCCCATCCCCAGTAGCATCAGAGGATCTGGATATCCAGAATGGGTTCTGTTTGATATCGCCGTTGGTCACGTGACTTCGGATATGGTGGGCCAGGCAGCCGAAGTACTGACTTTCTTCACTGGCCACACCTGCTATCTTGATGAAGTTCAACGCCGCTTTCTTCTGAACATACTTAGCGAAGCCCTTGAAGCTGGGTGTTCCCGGCGGGCGTGGTGCTGAAAGTAGATCCCTTGCTTTCATTGTGTTGGAGCAGAACTGCTGGGCGTCGTGGAAAGTCATCAGCTGCGGAATAGCAGGTGTCTGCAGGTTGGAGCATGTCTGCCTGCAGATAGTAGCTTGAACATCTGTAGTGCATAACATCAAAGAACAGAACTCAGTTTGGAAACCCAGTCCAGGTCTTCACTCTTTAACATAAATATTGAAAAAAGTCCCGTAAAACCTATGTTTTACATAGTTTTAGGGAACTTTGGCAGCGTTTTTAATGTTTCCCCGAGTACCACATTTTATAACACCAAGAAAGAGGGCACCCTTCAGCGTCTACAATGAGAACATTTTCAAAACTTTCCGTGGGTATACTTCCAAGCCCTCTATTCAGTTGTGGTACAGGCTACAGCAGGAGAACAAGAGCATTGCGTTAAGCACAGCAGACACTCTACGACTACTGAGCTACGGTGTAGGGAATACAGTTGACTCCATTTATATAACAAACTCTAGTAAATAGCGCATTTTTGTGATTTAGCGAACCGCTATCCACGTCTCATTTCGAACCCACAGCGTTAAGCGGGATTCACAGAAGCTTTTTTGCGATGCGACACGCGATGCAACAGCCGCGAAACCGGGAAATCCCCAAATCGCAACCATCGCAGACCCCACGCAACTGCCGCAACAGGGCCATCGCAGGCCATCGCAGAAGTTGAGCTTGGCTCAACTTTCGCGATGCGATGCGACAAACGATTTGGCGTACGATTTTGACCTTTTCTACAGCAAAGTTGTACAAAGGTTCAAGAGTTGCCTATAAATTTGTACAAGTTGTATCAAACCGCGCGAATATCATGGTGACGTAGCCAAATCAGCAAGATGTTGTCGCAGCACTGACTTCTTCTGTGAATGGTATTTCGCGAGTTTGCATCGCACGCGTCCGTCGCAGATCGCGTCGCATCGCGTGTCGCATCGCAAAAAAGCTTCTGTGAATCCCGCTTAAGTGCATTTCCGTTGTAACAAACTTCGGCTATAAAGAACTAATTCTCCTGCACAATGGCGTTCGTTCTATCAGGAGTCGAATGTACTTTGGGTTAGGCCGGCATGCTGCTGTATATTTCCAGTTTTTGTGTTTTGTTCTTTTCTGAATTCATCCATAAAGAGGTTTGCGCCTTATACTCCGATGATTAAAATCACTTCTAGTAGAGAAAAGAACCAAGGAACTTAAAGTTTGTTTGTTTGTATACTTTATTTGAATTCGCAAATCCAATCGAGCACAAATTCTCAATGACAAGGCAGCGAATATGTTATTTTGTTACAGGGAAGGAGGGTTGGGGAGAAGATATGAAGAAAAAAGGGAGAATGATAGATATCTCAACGAAGAGCGAAGCGGTATCAAAACTACAAGTAAGCCAGCGAACGATATTTCTGTAACCCGCCGAATAAACTAAGTACTTTTTTCAGGCGTGCAATAGACTGCCATGAAAGCAGAAACAGAAAAATAATAATGATCAGGCACCCATTTTGACAGTCCAGGGGATGGCCCACGCCTGGTAAAGAGAATAAATAGAGAAAAGAAGAAAAAACTAAGTACTAACTGCGAACGAGAGTACTTGCTACTAACATCGGGAGGAATGTTTTTTGGGGGAAAAAGGCCCAACCCTGCCCTGCCAGTTACGGACTTACGGGGGTCGCCATGGGGGATAATATTGGTAAACAGTAAAAATCAATCACAGACAGGAAGGATAAAGTCACCGTATAATGTCCACGAACACCACATGACAATCAGCTCATACGCTGCATGAGCTGATCTTGAAGCAACTGGTGGTGTTAGTGGGCGTTATAGCGTAACATGTTCGTTGGTTCTTTTACTTTCTATAACTTTATCCTTGGCTCTCACTCCGAATCATAATATATAAAGGGTGATAAATAGGGTGGATATCTGTACTTCATGGCAACAAAATTGGGGTGCGACATAGATGCCAGTGTGGCTTATACTCTGGAAAATAGAGTGTTTGTAAGGCATACCCAATTACCTAAACACAATTTTACTTGTAAAGGCCTGCACCCACGCAGAGGGGGAATCATGGTAGAGCGATATCTCGGGGAAGCAGAAGTGTGCAGGGAATGTGAAAGAGTGAAACTTATCTTCCGCTTACCTGTATGAACCTCTGTACGCGTTGAGCGCAGATACATGTAACAGGAACAGCACACAAAGGCAAATATACACATACACATACACACCAATATATACATCAATATACACATACATGTACATGTACATACCAACATGCGCATACATACCAATAATATTATACACAACACACCAACATGCGCATACACACCAACATACACAATACACACCAACATGCGCAAACAGCCCACATAAGCATATACATGTATGCACAAGTTCATAAGCGCCCATCAGGACGATTTTACACAAATGCACAAGAAAATACCGCAGAACAACTCAAAACTGCAGTTAAAACGACCCTAAATGTGGAAGTGCTGCAGCCACTGATAACATCTACCGAGGGTCAAAATAAATACGACTGCGTGTTCAAGTCTTACTCCTGCTCTGCTTCTGAATCTAGACTACAATCGTTATCTTCTCCATTCTATATCCCTTCCATGCCTGTTTTTTCTCCCCTCCCCATTCTCTTTCTGCCCTCTCCTTTTCAAAGTCGTCTACTTGTGAGAAGGCTCCATTGCCTGTTTGGTTTAAAGGATATAAAATTAATAAAAGCATAACAACAGCAGTAACAACAACAACAACAACAACAACAACAACAACAACAACAACAACAACAACAACAACAACAACAACAACAACAACAACAACAACAACAACAACAACAACACCAACACCAACACCAACACCAACACCAACAGCAACAGCAACAGCAACAGCCACAGCAACAGCAACAGCAGCAGCAGCAGCAGCAGCAGCAGCAGCAGCAGCAGCAGCAGCAGCAGCAGCAGCAGCAGCAGCAACAACAACAACAACAACAACAACAACAACAACAACAACAACAACAACAACAACAACAACAACAACAACAACAACAACAACAACAACAACAACAACAACAACAACAACAACAACAACAACAACAACAACAACAAGTGCAATGGTGGATATGCGCATGGGAGTAGTAAAAAACTATCACCTGGTGCATATGAAAGCATGTGTATCGCCAGAAAGACAAAAATAAGATCATGATTGCTCATCACTGAAGTCGAACTCTGATACTGAAAAGCCATTATGTTAACGAGCCGCAAAGGTTGCAGAGGTTATGCGATAACGTCAAATCCGCCATATATAGGAGCCAGTTGGGGTGGCAAAATGCCCAAAGCGGGCACAGAAACCCCTTATATAGAAGAATTTGGGGTGGCAATGACGTGTATCGCATAACCTCTTATGCGATTTCCTAAAATTGACCCGTTTACATACCAATGGTAACGACTCTTGCGCATTTTCAACCCTCACCAGCAACAGTACAGGTCCTCTCTCGTTAGTAGATAGTCTCGGAGCCATCAAAAAAGTTATCTTATAACGAGACTTATCTTGTGACAGGACTTGCAGCTTAAGGTGAAATAAACACTATTTCGTACCTTTGTGGGGTACCCTTGATACAACATAAACTATCGACACTTCAACAACATACATGCAGCTGTTCCATGGATGCAAAAGATCGTCCACATCTACGAATACACAAATATTACACAGCAATGAATCAAACAAGTCTCATTCCGCTGTTACTCCGAGTTTCGTGTCAGAACACTTCATCAGACAGCATAATGAGACTTGTTTGATTCATTGCTGTGTAAGCAGCCTAGGGACTTTAGACAACTGTCTACGAATACACAGATTGAATATGTTGCGTCTTTCTGCTTTATCCTATGTGTTTTGGTATTGGTCCTGCATGGTCAATATTATCTTTATACTGAAGGTTTGGTACTCCAGGGACCTGGGCAAAGGGTCGTTATATAGCGGATTTTACACACTCAACAGAGGCGAAAGGCTGTGTTTATGTCCTAACGAATTATGCAAACAGTTGTATAGACCACGTTTCGCCAGGGGATTTCAGATTTCTATTTTCTAACGGGGTTTATGTACTATATTAAACCGGACTCGTCATAACGAGGGAGGACATGAACAAGCATCGATTTCTGTATATCATTTTCTATTATAACAACAGATTCCTCCTCAATAACTCGCTAGATTTAGCACTTTGTTGTTAAAACTTAAAAGGCGTTCACAGTAATACGTACCCCACAGTGCACAGCAGGAAAGCGCACCAAAAGTGGGAAATTTGTAGCACAACACAATCGAAATGTCTAAAAACAACTTTATGAGGATTTTCACATCCAAAATCTGACTAGATCCACTTTAAAAACGTTGGCCAAAACATGGAATCAAATACAAACCCCACATAAAAATGATTGTTGCTGTTGTTCTTGTTGTTGTGTGTATTTTAATTCGCAAACCAAACGGGCAAATCTGCCCAATGAAAAGGTGGCGAATGCAGATAGAAAGCGGTAATAAATGAAATTGGGGACTGATGTAATTAGGATAGAGGTGGAGAAAAACTAAACCAGATAGATGATCATCAAACAGGACGTTTGGTACTCTAGGTACTAAGGGTGTGCGGGATCTTGCTGGCGCGGAACTGGCGGAGCGTGGAGATGGCACGTATATCGCTGGGTAAGGTGTTCCACAGCTGGGCGGCCCGGAACGCGAGGCAACCCTTGCCGAACCTGGTGGAAACTGGCGGCTGGCGCAGACCCATGGTGGAGTGCAACCTAGTTGGGCCAGCTGACGAAGGAACTAGGAGGGCGATTCGTTTTTTCGCAAATGTTTGGTCAATATCTGAAAAATGATGAAGTAGACCGCGGCGTGTTTTGCATCTTAACCGTTCACGAGTACTTCTTATCAGAGAACGTGCTTGGTCAGTTCCAAGTACTCACTTCTACAGTATGCAAGACCGGTTACATGGTGTGTTCCATCCCGACAGGTTGATGTCGTACCGCCGTAAGGTAGTTCACCTTGGGGACAAATCACTGGCGACGTTTCTCCCTCGTTCAGTTTGGGAAAATACTGAGTGGCTGGACAGGTCTCTAAACACAATATGAACCGCACAGGAAAACACAGAGTAGGGCACGGATGGGAATGAAACGTTAGAGTGTGACATCACACCTACAAAACCCCTGTGGTAAGCAACTTCTAGTTCCTTGTTGAAACCCATTGTTCTGTATAAAGATCTGGACATCACGACCCTTGGGAGGAGATAAACAGCTTTCTGCGACCACCCTGTCGACGAGTATCTTATCAATGAAATTCATGTTCCTAAAAACAAATGCTATACAACGGCTATCTCCTGTGAGCTACAGTTGCTGATGCTCGTTGTGCGTCTCACCGATGCACGACACTCGTTTCGCTCATGTTAATACATGTCTATTGTTCTTCCTTTGCTGTGTTGTTTTAGACAATCGTGGAATATCACTTTGAAGTCATTGAACTTCCAAAAGTTGTATCGACATCAACAGCACTACGATTACAGGGGCAGGATGACCTTATCACGACAACCCGTGGCTACAATTCTAAACACAGAATCAACAAAACACATCTGCGACATGTCCATGATTATATTTCTCAAATAAACCTGCCATATACATGTACTAGTTTGGGTGCGTGGAAATCTGAAATATCTGAATAGCAAGACAATTTATGACAGAGTCATGAAATTCTGCAACGGCAACAGAGTTACAGCCACAGAATGACCCGCATATACAATCAGCATCACCACCACTACCCGCATGTTTCCCCAGAGAAGAACACGATTATGCAAGTGCCATTCTCTGCAAGAAAAGGCTTGCATATCAATGCGTACAGTACTCATCTGATGTACATTGTACTAGAGGCCATCTTTTAGGGCATTCCTTAGCGACATGAAAAACAAAAAAATATAGCAAAAAAAGGATGCTTTTAAATATGGCGGTTTTCTAAAACAATTATTGTGGTCTAGTCCTGGCTCCCTCTCCTATTGAAAATTTATAAAATTGCTGTCCAAAACGCGATGGAGCCGGTCTAAAAAGTAAGAAATTAACGAAATGTGATAGCCGAAAAGTAAAATTTCACACAAAACCTCACAATAATCACACACAGGGTGAAAAGTGAGAAGACATTTTCGCTTCGTGGTCCTCTTTCCCATGCATGCATGCATGTTGGCGCAGTACAAGTGTCAGGTTAAACAAGAGTAGTGTTGAAAGCAGTATTTCAGCTTTAAAACTAAGCTGGTATTTGGTATTGGTGTTGGTTTATTTGAATTCGGTATCTCAACAGTACAATGTACAACTTGGGAAGATCCGAATGACATAGATACATAAACATAAAAGTGGAGTAGGTGCTACAGCTGATCATTTTACCGCAGGTTGTGGGACTAAACTAATACCAGTATTGTCAAGCGTTGTGATTATTGTGAGGTTTCGTGTGAAATTTTAATTTTCGGCTATCACAATTCGTTAATTTCTTACTTTTAGACGGGGTCCATGGCGCTTCGGAAAGCAATTTAAAAAAAATCAACAGGGGAAGGCCCCAGGACTAAACCACAATAACCTTTATTTTAGAAAACTGCCATAAAGGTTTTATTGCTATAATGATTTCTGTACTTGCAATGCATGAACCATGAACACGGTGATGAACTGAACGTTAGTTCAGGGCAGCTGCAACCAGCTTTCGACGCAGATCGGTTGGCAGTTCGACCACGTCGACGGCCGCCACAGGATTTTGCAATCCCAGTAGCTCCAGCTGTTGGGGAAGGGCACTCTGCGCACTCATCCACGACACCATAGCGAGGAAATTTGTCCTCGGATAGATGTACCACGCCTATTGAACTAGTTCTTCGCTATAGCGCCTCTATTCTTTGGAACTGCGCATTAGCCTCAAGCTCTATGTTTTTGTGTACCGCTGCTTGGCCCAGCATCCTGCTAGTCCTCTTCTCCAGTTTTGGTACCAGCCTCGGGTAACTGAACCTAGTCACCAGGCATGCACCCCGGGAAAGGCGCAAAGAGTCAAAGAGCCTTAGTTCTCACACTCATTCATACGCAGTATGTCAGGCGCTCTATTTCTTTTCTGGCGCCAGGCAGATGGAACTCTCTTCCAGCTGACTGTCGACAGGCCCACTCTCTTGCTCTGTTCATTAATATGGTTAAGCTTCACCTAGGGTTCCCAGTAAAAAGGCAGTAGCCTGTTGGGACTCCCCTAGTAAAATAATAAACACTACTAACACTTTACTACTAGTGCTACACTACGTCAGCAGCAGAGGCAGGTTCAGAACACAACTGGTTACGTGTGCGCCTGCAACAACGACGACTTTGTCGTCGACGGCAGGAATGGCATCGGATGAACCTCGCCGAGTCGAGCGACGGAAGGCAGTACAGTGAATGTCTAACTGGCCTACTACATGTAGTACAATTTGCAAGTACAATTTGTTCTCAAAATAAATTCGGCACAGTCTGTTCAAGGTTTTCATTTGCATTGTATTCGTTCTCTACAATTGCGATAATTTAGCGGTAATTCTAATGTTGTAGCGTTGTTCTCTTGTAATTTAGTGGAACCTGTATTGAGTAACTGAGTTTTATGTTTCGTTACGTTGTCAACAGATTTCCTGTGCACCGGTTTTATGGCACAATGATTATAGCCATTTGTCCTCTCCATTCTTGTGCAATCTCTCCATGTTATTGTCACCGATTTCATACATGTAGATGTTGGTTGTCTTGTTGCTTTCTCTCCCCTCTCCTCTCAATCAAGCCATTCTGCATACGCGAAGCTGTGAACGCAGCATACTGCTGCTACATTTTAACGCGGGAATGCGTATAATAATAATAATAATAATAATCCCCGCGTGCTAGAGTGTACGTGAAGTGTGTGGGTCCAGTCAGGGCTGCGTCCCACCCGCCTGTGTGGATGCACAGGAAGTGTGAGTTACGAAGTCTGAAGAGAATGTTGAACAGTCGCTGCTGGGATGACGACTACACCATAGCTCAGTGGTTAGAGCATCGCTAGCTACAAGCGAGGGTCCCTGGTTCGAGTCCTGGTGGTGACAGTCAATTCTTCTTCAGACTTTTCCCGTTTGCCTCTTTCCCTCAAACTAGTGAAAATAATAATAATAATACTGTAAATAGAAAGGTGTTAGAAATAACATCAAGATACCAGTGCAATAAAACCACTAGAGGAAACGCAAAAAAAGTAACAAGATTACATAACCAAAGGCGAGAAGGCACTGAACGAAGTGTCAACCTACGAATACAAGTTTTGTGTAAGCAGAAAGAGCACATTGTTGCACTGAAGTTGTATTCGTAGGTTGACACTTCGTTCAGTGCCTTCTCGCCTTTGGTTATGTAATCTTGTTACCTTTTTTGCGTTTCCTCTAGTGGTTTTATTGCACTTGTATCTTGATGTTATTTCTAACACCTTTCTATTTACAATAATAATAATAATAATAATTGCCTAATTGCGACTAATGGAGAGATTTTCCTCGCGCCTATGATGAAGTGAAACAAAGCAAACCAAAACAGCAAACACACAAACAAACAAACAAACAAAAACAAACAAGCAAAGACAAAGAAAGCAATGCCTTACTGCACGGCTTCCGAAATTCGCAGAAGTAGGAAAAGCTCGAGTTGTTGCCATACCACTTTTCGTCCGATGCCATTCTACTGATACCCTTTGGCAAACTCTTCACCCAAAGAGGTGGTCGGATAGCTGTCCTCATTTTTCCAACATGCGTCTGGGCGCACCCGGTGTATAGCGTGGGAAGACTTAAAATGTCAGAAGCGGTGGCAGAAACAGGCGCCAGGCGCTGGCAATCCTGCACTGCTGCTTGGTGCGTGCCATAAATGGGTTGTGCTCGACTAGCAATCCATGAACAAGTGCTCGGACAATACGTTTGCAAGAGGTCTGAAAAAGAAGAAAAAACAGAAATCCAAATTTAGTTTGTATAGAAGAGAGATCAGCAAAGCCGAGAAGGTTTTTACAAATCTAATTTCGAAGTAGAGGCATTGGTTTTTATTGCCACATTCGCAGAATATTTCGTAACACGGTACTGGCATATGTAGTTGTTCTCAAATGGAATGGCAACAAGCCTGATTGTTCTACAGTTTCATACATGTAATGAAAACTTTGCACACTGAGCCAGACTTGGGCCTGACCACTAATAATAATTATGCCTAACTCGGGCAAGGTACTGTTCATCACATGGGTAACCTTTCCCTGGGGCTCCCAGTAGCCGGCTGGAACTCTCTTAGTAAAACCATAACATCTTCTTGAAGTACTACTACGTTGAACTCGGATGGTGAGCCAATTTAATTATGGTAAAAAAGGAGAAGGACAAAATGTTACGAGTTATGACTAACTGAATAACTGATTAACCTTCTCATTTTTCACAATAATTTTTAAGAGAGCATGTCTGAGAAAACCAGAGAATATGTGCAAGTCGATCTCTCAGATTTCGCTCAAATTTTGCAGGTAGGTTTGCTTTGGGGTGTAGATCGACATTCCAAAGCCCGCACAAAATCTTTTGAAGGGAACCATGAAATTGGCATACCCCTCAATATTGGCCCAATATTGGCACGATTTATGGGTCTACAAACGAGCTACGACACAGCGTACAAGAACAAGCTACGAACAAAACTCCATCAAGTCAACATTACCTCACCTTAGAAGAGTTCTTGGGGCAGCACCACTTAGCCACTCCAGCATCCCAGAAGACGAGGGCAATCATCCCTTGACGGCACAAATGATCGTCTTGAAAATAGCCAAATTGCAAGCGCTGATAAAACTGCGAGCTACGTCCTCAATTAGCAAACACTATACACCGGCAGATAGTCGAACACCTCTTCTAGCACTGAGGACATGTCCCCCATCATCCTTTTTGGGTTTTCTTGAAATAAACAATTTTGAATTTTTCCACTCGACCATTCTGAAATACGTCCAAACTCATACCTGCGCAAGAAAGCTCGCCCCTCCGCGACGTCTAGTCAGCAATTTCTACTCCAACACCACTCCCAACGCTGCAGAACAAAGTGTATTGTTGACTCTGACAAGGAAAAGCAGCGGTGATTACTTGTCACTCCAAACGACAAGCTTCTCCTTGCGCCACCAACATTTTTCGGTGCAACAGTTGATGCAAAAGTGACTGAATTTTTGCGTGTAGTTTTTGGATTTTACTGCAAAAGGAATGATGAAATCACGTGCTTTGTGACACAAGAATGCCAGGTCTCGTAGATCACGGTTCAGCAGTTGTTCCGAGTCACCGTCCTTGATCAAGCGCACTTGCACTTACATGGATCACCCGTTGATCAAGATCGGATCAAGTGCATCTTGATGGCCAGCTCAAGTCAAGAGCACGCATGTCGTGTTGTAGGCCTTCCAGCCGGGACTTTCCCTCAACATGCAGCACACAGATTAGGGCGAGTAGGGTGAAATCACGTTGTTCATGACGTAAGAAATCTGCCATGTGGGCGCGCCACCAGTGACTGGGTCTGTGTATTCCGCGCGCTGGTCAACTCCAAGCGACCTTGATCAAGTATGTTAGTTGATGGCATGGACAACGGTCATTCCTTGCTGTTGCAGATCTACGTGGTTCATCAGCATGTAAACTAGCCGTAGTTCCTGTTGAACCATGTTCGGGATGAGCGAGGTTAGTGTGAAAAAAATGCATCCCTGTTCTTACTGCAAGAGAAAGTATCTCAAAGAATTCTTGCCAATGCAATACTGCTAGCGCTATAACGATAGTTTCTGAATGTTCTGAGCAGAGCATCCAAGAAATATAATGCATCTTACCTCCTCCCTCATGGTCCGTTTCGAATAGCGCCTCGGGAACGATCGTGATCATGCGCATTGTGTCGTGCACCAGAAAGCATTATCCTACGTCACGATGCACGTGATTTCTTCATTCCTCTTGCAGTAAAACCCAAAAACTACACGCAAAAATTCAGTCACTTTTGCATCAATTGTTGCACCGAAAAATGTTGGTGGCGCAAGGAGAAGCTTGTCGTTTGGAGTGATAAGTGATCACCGCTGCTTTTCCTTGTCAGAGTCAACAATACACTTTGTTCTGCAGCGTTGGGAGTGGTGTTGGAGTAGAAATTGCTGACTAGACGTCGCGGAGGGGCGAGCTTTCCTGCGCAGGTATGAGTTTGGACGTATTTCAGAATGGTCGAGTGGAAAAATTCAAAATTGTTTATTTCAAGAAAACCCAAAAAGGATGATGGGGGACATGTCCTTAGTGCAAGAAGAGGTGTTCTGCTATCTGCCGGTGTTTAGTGTTTGCTAATTGAGGACGTAGCTCGCTGTTTTATCAGCGCTTGTAATTTGGCTATTTTCAAGACGATCATTTGTGCCGTCAAGGGATGATTGCCCTCGTCTTCTGGGATGCTGGCGTGGCTAAGTGGTGCTGTCCCAAGAACTCTTCTAAGGTGAGGAAATGTTGGCTTGATGGAGTTTTGTTTGTAGCTTGTTCTTGTACGCTGTGCCGTGGCTCGTTTGTAGACCCATAAATCGTGCCAATATTGGTCCAATATTGAGGGGTATGCCAATGTCATGGTTCCCTTCAAAAGATTTTGCGCGGGCTTTGGAATGTCGATCTACACCCCAAAGCAAACGTACCTGCAAAATTTGAGCGAAATCTGAGAGATCGGCTTGCACATATTTTCTGGTTTCTCAGACATGCTCTCTTAAATTGGCTCAAAATTGCGAGTATAATGATCTGGTTACGTTGGTGGACAGTTCCTCAGTTAGTCATAACTTTTTCACAAAGATCATTATCCATCAAGGACACTGCCCGAGCTGGCGTCATGATGAATGTCCGCCAATAGCCTACGTCAGTCCAGATGTCTCGCAATGGATAAGATCAAATGGAAAGGACTATTTCAAAAACACATACCCTATTTACCGCGGTACTCAATGTGACACAGAAGCGGAACAGGCATACAATTTTCATTGATATGTCTTATTACGCGTGATGTATTATTATTATTATTATAAAGAGAACAAATTCTGCTGTCATCGCCACACTACAACAAAGTCATGAAGGTTTACCAAAATCGATTTTCTTGTCACAATCATCAGTGGAAAGCCGTGACTGAAGAATAACCATGCTAAATCAATAATTTATATACATTCAATAATGTGTCGCGAAAACAAAACAAAGTGCTAAAATAGAATGAGGGAAGATGAGAAAATAGAAGTAAAGTGAAGTTAAGTACACAGTTCTAGGGTTGCAATTAGTTTCTCACCCCTGTTGCACTTAGCTCTCACTTTACTTCTATTGTCTCACCTTCCCTCATTCTATTTTAGCACTTTGTTTTGTTCTCGCAACACATTGTTGAATGTATATAAATTATTGATTTAGCATGGTTATTCTTCAGTCACGGCTTTCCACTGATGATTGTGACAAGAGAATCGATTTTGGTAAACCTTCATGACTTTGTTGTAGTGTGGCGATGACAGCAGAATTTGTTCTCTCTATAGCTATTATAAATTGTTTTCTCCGCGTCGATTATTTACATTATTATTATTATTATTATTATTATTATTATTATTACGAAGTAGTGGTTGCGACTTCGGCGATGATTTGTGCTCTGGATGGCAGTCGTGAGTCAGTCAAGTGTCAAGTAAAGTCGGCGGAATAGCGCGAGCTCCGGTGTGGGGAGCAAACCTTTCTGATTATTATTATTTAAAGAGTCGGCGTGGAGAAAGCAATTTTATTAGCGCAATTAGGAGTATAATAGATGCAGACATGGCCAGACAACAACGAGTTCATGGAATTTTTAAGGATTTTTATGTTATTCAAAATCGATTTTCGTGTTCCGCTCATCAGTGAATAGTATCGGAACTGAGGGTACTGTGTACAAAAATAGAACATGTTCTGGAGTATTCCCAGCTTGTGGTGAATCTTGCATGACCTTTCATTGTACTCAGGTTTCATTTCTTTTATTCTAGTGCATGCTGCTGGCGCCTGATGTATTGACTATTGGCAGTATTGCTACCGCAGGCCAGTCTCAACCTTCGCATTGTCTGAGATTCAAGTAGCGTATCGTTTGATGCATGTGCTGTCTCCATGCTATCTAGTCGTAATATATTCACTCGTCTTTGCATTTGTGCACAGTCCTGTGGATACTCGCAGGCTGCGGTTGCGCTCTCGCTTTGGTCATTCTAGAATGTATACTTCCATGCCTTTGAAGTTTTTTAGTTGTCAGTTTTGAACTGTAGGAAGCAGTTTACAGTTTGTGTTCTTGCAGTTTTATCTCAGAGGAGAAAGTTCTTGGTCTCATACTGTTACGAGTTGCTGTTGTATCTGGTTGAACGCATGCCGGGGCAACAGAGGGCAGCATGAGTAGCCATAGTGGTCCTATTCGAGCCGGATCTCAGAGCCAGATCCAAGAAGTCCTGCGCGACGACGAGCAAGTCCCAGGCGCTGAGTGTAGACGGAGCTCGCGGTCTACCAAAGGGAGACCGCCGAGCAGATACGGGTTTGATAACTGGAGTGACGTCCCGGACAGCGTGAGCTCTGCAGGACATGCGCCCTCGAAAGTTTCAGGAACTGCTGCGTCGCAGGCGTCACTTCGTGCAGAGATGCTTCGTGTAGAACTTGAGGCTGCAAGGCAAATCGCTGAGCTGGAGGAGGAAGCCGAGACACGCAAGTTGGCTCGTGAGACAAGTTTGGTGCAGAGGGAACTGGAGGTTCGAAGAGCCGAGGCTGAATCTGCAGCTGCACTACGATCCGGGTCAGGGAGCAAAGTGTCGTCTCGCAAATCAGAGACTGGAAACGCTGCATCCAGTGGCAGGGCAATATTGACTGCCAAGAGTCTTGCTGAGCACGACAAGTTGGCCGGACCTGGTCGAAAATTCGTATTACCACCGCGTGAGCACTTCAGAACGATGAGTGATGTCGGTGG